TTCGGTGTTCAATTCTTGTAAGATTAATTTAGCATTTGAACTGCAACAAATCCACAACAATAATTCAGTAGTACTTAGTGCTACGCGTATGACAATTAACTTCAATTTTTGCAAGATATGATTTATGTTATCTTCAGACACGCCTTCATTTCTCATAAATCTTAATTTCATCTTCATTTCAGAGAAATTAAGTTGATTTTTCCATACAAAAATCAGTTTTAAGGTTAGAACGAAATTAAGGAAAATTGCCTTAATTTCATTGAAACGAAGACTGAAATTAAGGGATATTTCAAATGCAACTATGCATAAAATAAATTTTAGTGGTGCAAATTTTTAAATTTGAATATAGAAAAAAAACTTTAACTGTTATTAATTTAAAATATAATATTTAAGAGATCATCCACAGAAATGAAATGATGAACTTAAGCCCTTATATCTACACAATTGTAGTAGCATAGGCACTTTGGAAACATTGAAAAAAAAAGTTACATCTTATGTACTACAGTTTTCAAAATTTCATATTTCTGAGGACGAAAATGGTTAAGAAGAAAAACAGTTTAAAATTGGGGACTTGGTTTATTTAGAGTGGACTGTTCTATGTCCATCACATCAAAGTTTTCTAAAATTAGTACATTCTATGATAAGAGCCAAAAAATGGATATGATAGTATGCATTTTTGTGGTACAGAGCAAACTGCAAACATTAATAAAACAATTAAAAAAATTTTAAGTATTATTAAAATAATGAAAAACTCTCCAAGAAGAAAAATTTAAAGCGTTGCAATTTTCGGGATGCTATGGAACAAAGCAAAACTCCTTCAAAGGTCGAAGGTGTGTCAAGTATAACCCTAACTGATACATTAGTAACTAATCATATTACTGACGCTATTTAAGGCAATTACGTATTAACAATAGCGTCGAAGTGGATGACATACAGATAGAACTAAATACCATAAATCTATCAATCTGCCACATGTTTCAAAAGAGATTTAAGAGATTTATATATGGTAAAGAGATCAACCCAAAGATTGCCAACAAGTTAACTACACTGAAGGAAATCACACCCGAACGATACTTGAACGGTGATGAGAATGTGTCAGCACATCAAGTGAAGCGGATATTTTCAAACGAATATATGTAAATGCTTTAATGAAACATATATAGAAAATAGTAGGACGTTGGTAATCTTAATAATTGGTGGACTGAACTATGTTTGTGGGTGGAATATTCAATGGAGTCTAGCAACGTTTTCTAATTAAGTTCTAAATAGTTTATATGTGCCAAATAATTCACCACCAACTGCATGGTTATATTAATGCTTAATATAATGTATAATATAAAATATTAAATTCTATTATCCTAAAATCCTATAGAGTAGCAATCTCATACAAGAGAACTCTGAGTTAGCTCTATGCGAGAATCAGAGAAGTCTATAAGGCATGTTGTAAAAATATCATATAATTTTTATATATGTTATGTGGTTTTATGTTTTATTAATATGTTTTCACCATATTACTTTTCCAACGACATTATAAAAACAAATATTTCTGTTCTATGCCGGCTGTCATCGTTAATAGACTACGAAGGAGACAAGAAGTTTTTTTTTTAACATGTTCTTGAAGTTTATATCTGTCGACAGCTTATCAACTTGTCTAACTGCACTAGCTTTCTTCTTAAGATTTCGAGACCGGTGTTTGAAAGTTCTACTTTCAATTATTGATTGAGTTTTTCAATTTATTTCTTAAAAAGAACTACACTGTTCGAGATAGGAGCACATATTTTATGTTAATAGTTTTGTATTCCATCTATCGTGTATTTCTTTCATAATGCCTCATATAGTATGCCACCGATATAACAATTTTCTACATCCACACTTTCGTGATTGTATGCTGTAGGAACCCTTTCTCAAAAATTGGCTACCTATATACGGAAGCATAGTGTCTATAGCAAATTTAATATTAAAATTAAATTTTGTTAATGGAAAAAAATATTTTAAAAAAAAACATAAGAAATGATGTTTATCTAAGAAGAAATGTTTATATTAATTTATTCGTAAAATTAATCACGATTCACATATCCTATCAAACTTGCTCCCGAACCTTATTTTTTTGTAAAGATATTTTTTTGTCAGGTCCGCAATCACCTTTCAAAAACGCCTGTGGTCTTCACAATATTCCTTTGTGATACAACTGACTTTTTTTCTTTTCATATTAGGAGTTATCAATTTTTCTAACAAACTTTGTTTGGAATTGTTATGGTTTGCTCTATTCTGGATAGATTTTGGTTCAAATCACATAAGCGGTCATTCCGAAAACGTTAAACGAGTTGCAAAAGTTAACAAATAACCACAGATTACATATGTATATTCATTATATTCATGACACTATTGTCCAGTGAGTCTACTCATCCACTGGTTTCATTATAAAACAAAATAAATATCTAGCTTATTCTATCTAGCTTATTGCCTTTGTCCATAAGTGCATCGGAAACAAGAGAATCACAGATTTATTTCGCTTTACATATATAATATTTAAGAGATCATCCATAGGCGATATGGGTACGTTACAGTGCCCTGATGTTTCACAAGTTGTAGGTTTTATATTATTGTTAATTATAGCAAAAAATTTTTTTTGTTAATGGAACTATTTACATTATTTGATTGTCATCTGAATCAGAATATTAGGAAACCTCTTGTTAGTCGATATGACTAGTTGTTGTTAATTTAAACTCTACATTTGTTCAAATATAATAAAAAAAAAATCTGAATCAGAAACAAGAAGGAATTTGGATTTTTTGGTCAAACTCTTTACCATCATTATTGATGTTACCTTTGGATTTACTTTCACCGGGTTGATTAGGCCACGTCTTTCTCTAACTGACAGAATTGAGGGGCGAACAGAACGAGGTTTAGAAACGTCTCCTGAAAGTTATTCATAATTCTCTGCACAGATGAATATTGACGACCGAAATCTTCAGTACATTTTCGTTGGCTTACGTCATCTTTTCAAAATTTAACAATTATTTGTCTCACTAACACTAATTTCACGTCTTTTATTTTCCATTGTATAAATTTATTGTTTATTTAAATAAAATATTTTTAAATGATTAATTCTTAGACTCTTTAGGAAGTCAACCAATAATAAAATATCATTTAATGACACGTTTATGCTTGCAAGGGAATTAAATTAAGGGTAAACGTAAATATTAAGAAGTGTCGGTAGACTTTTTCTGCTTCAAAAATTATAACTTTGCATATAATTGTGTTTAAAATTTTTTTTTAAATAATAGTTGTTGATTTTTCATGTTTTAACTTTATTGTTGTTTCTTTGTTTAAAATAAATCAAAAAACAAAGATTAATTTGAGTAAAGATTAAAAAAGTTATGCGAAATTTAAGAAAAATTTTGTAGGTGACCTCAGACTTTTTCTGCCCTGTGTATATACGTACATACAAAAATATACGGTATTGCTACATTAACCCTTTCTCGATTGTTGAAGGTGTTTTTATACACTTTCGCACTGTCTAGTTATGCATTATACAGTTAAGTGAATCGAGAACAGGATGACTATACATGTATGTATATATGTTTAAATATATTGTATTTATCGACCATTTGTTTTTATACTGTACAATTATTCCTTTATTCTGTATATTTAATTTGTTGCTATATTATTAAAAATATTTATTAATATTTTAATATAAAAATAAAAATAAATTAATAAATATTTTTGATAAAATGTTATATATAAAAGATAATTTAATAATAACTAATAATAACAAGACCACTTAATACAAGAGGACTTTTCAACTGAGGCTTTGAAAAATTTGTGTCCGAAAACATTACTCCGATCGAAAGGAACGATTTTAATTTGTTTTTCTATTACCTATTTTTGCTTTTGCTTTGGAATTCCACAAAAAATATATGAATTTTTAGCTGAAGGGAAAGGTATTTGTTTACTTTTGTGTTGTGTTTTGCTATATTTTGTTTTGGAGACATTTTAGCATCGAAGATAGTAAAAGAATGTAGAGAGGTAATCGACGAGCTAAATCGATTTGCAGACATCACCTAACATCACCCATCTGGGTTCTTGGACACAGAAACATCGAAGGGAACGAGAAAGCTGACAGTTTAGCTCGCTTTAGTGCTTCCCTGAATGTGTCTCTGACGATACCGGTGTACATTACCCTGAAGCCCATTAAGAGAAGTAATTATTTCCTTTTTTCTTAAAATTGCTAATAACAGATGGAAAACACTTAAGTCGTATGCAACTTACAGGTTAATATAGCCCACCTGTAATAAAATTTGATCCTCGAAACTCATTAAAAGAGACCGCGTGAACACTGCAAAGCTTACTGCAGTTCTCTCTGGTCATTGGTGAATAAGAACTCACGCAGAGCAACTGATTATTCTCCATAATCCTAACTGCAAAAGTTGTGGTGACCCGCAGTAAATGAAATCATTATGAATGAAATCACGTTCCGCCTTTGGCGTCCCAAAGAAATAGTTTTTGAAGAAGATACTTCTTTGAGAGTCTATCAGTCATGGACCCATATCCACCTCGGTGGTTATAAATCGATGTCTTCAGTACATTACCTTTAGCAATGAACGAATGTGATCTTTTTCACAGGAAACTAATTAATTACTTAAAAAAACGTGAATAAATAAATAACTGATGGCATACCGATCCTACATTAAAACTGAGAGATTAACATAATAAATAATTAATTGAACATATGTTTATGTGGATACATAAACAAATAAATAAATAAAAATAAAATAAATATTCCAATAAGTATATATCTACAGAATGTACATAAAAAAACAGATAAATAAAATCTTTCTGTTGAAGAATCATTTATGTATTCTATGACTTTGTCCCTTCAAAATAAACTTAGGCAATAAGTATTGAAAATAATTTCTATGGTAACACTCAACTCACATTAGCAAAAAAAAATTTTTTGACAAATGATAAAGTTAAAATTTGTTTCTCATTAAAATTATAAATTTTTAAAATTATAAATTTGTTGTCTTAAGATGTCATTTAATATTAACAAGTACAATCGATCCAGGACCGAAAAGAGGATGCGAGAGCAAGTGAAAATGGAAATCATAAATAAGATGAAACAGTGCAAAAACTCTTCTTATAAGTGCAGTTTACCCTGTTTGGATGAATATGACTACTGTCAAATGCATATATTAAACGATCCAAGTAGCTTTTATGCACAATGTACTTACTTATATAAAAAAAGGAGACGGTGTCCAAATCCAGTGCTTCTTCAACCAGTACTTAAAGCTCCAGGCCCCACAACGTTCTGCTTTGAGCACACACTTAAGGAACAACGTAAAAAGCGTCATATTAAATTTGGGAAGTTTTGTCGTCCGGAAAATAATGAAATTTTACTGAGCAACTTATCACATCATATCGAACGTAGGAATCTAGTTATTTAAATTAAACCATACAATTAAATAAGAAATGAATTAAGTCATATTTTAACAATTCTTTCAGGTCTCCTTATTAACGATGAGAACGATGGTGATCTTAAGAATAAACAACGTCATATATTGGATTATGCATCGGACAGTTCTGGAGAAGAAAGTGCTCCTTGTCTTGAAGATATTGCAGACTTTAATTTAGACAATTCAGATGATGAGGATTCTCTTTCATTGCAAAAGGATGATGTTTTAAGTAATGCAAATATTTTTAGTAGGGAGGAAGTCTTGCGAATATCGGCTAACAAAATGGCTCGCTTAAGAGATTTATATGTTGGTCAAATAAAGCATTTAGATCGAAAATTGAATGAACTTTCCAAAGACAAATGTTTTGAAAAAAAAGATCTTGCAAACATAAAAAATATGGCTAAAACATCACCGGTGGAAATGGAATACTATAAAAAGTTTAAAGCTCTCACACACTACCATTGTCCTCGTGGCCTTGATGCTTTATTCACTGAAAGACGAAAGGAAAAGGAACGCATTGCTAAGGGTGTGAAATTGACGAATGAAGAATCCATGAAATGTGTTCACATTAGTCAGAACAAAAGGTGTGAACATCCATCTTTACCTGCTACCAAATATTGCCGAGAACACATCTTAGAGGATTCGACTCAAATACTATTTCGTGCATGTGGAATGATAAGTAGTGGTATATCTTGCAATGAACCTGTTCTCAACGTTGAGCACTCAGTTTGTTCCTTGCACCAGACAATGGACAAAATTCACAATTATACTATTTAACCAGGCGATATCAAGCTATTGTATATTGATATCACGTTGCCGAAATATGGGGATATGGATATGTTTACAAGTAAATATTCGTTTTGAGTTATGACAGTTTTATTGACAAGCAATTTATGTGCATTGAATTTAAGATAATAAAATGTTAAAACCAACAGACTTCATTTCTATTGTTAGATCGAAAGTATTATATTGACGATTCTAATGCAAGAAGAGGGCAAAAGGTTTCATATTTTAATTCGTTGATTAATAGTCAAACATTTTTATTTTGATTAACGTTTACAAATAAAACTGTTGCTTGTACACAAATATATATCCGAATCATTAACTTATATGAAAACTATATTAGAACTTGTACGTTCGACTATATTTCTGAAAAAAATACATTTTCTAATTCAGTTTCAGAAGAATATTTCGAACTTTTATTCATAATGTATGTGAAATTTGCTTACACTTTTTTACCAAACATATCATCGCCAGCCATACTACATTTCGCCACTCATCCAATTTCGAAATATATTTCATAATTTCAGGATCGGTTCGTGCGTCTGATTGAATCTCTAATAAAACTATAAGTTGGAAAGAATCGTATGTTTTGTTTTTAAATGCGATTTTTATTAGTGTACATTTTATAGTCTAACATAATGAATGTATTTATAACCATTTAATGCATTTCAGAATATTGAGATATTCAAGACGATGCAGTTTTGACAACCGATTCAGTTTTGACAGCGCGTTTTGCAGTGATTTCACGCAACATTTGAATCTCATGCCATTGACTATAAAGCTTATCAATTAGTTCTTGCAACTTGATTCCGATACTTGTTCCATTCTACTTGTTCCATTATGCTCTCACAAAATGCACGCTCAGTAGGAAGTGTCATACATATGTGGGCAGTCAATATAATTTGATGTTTTGTTTGTGTTTCAATTCGTTCTTATTGCAGATTGATTTCTTTATACTCTGTTAGTCAACACAATATATTAAACAATATAAGAACCATTTATCCTTCCTACTTGATAGAAATCTACTCATATATTCCATATGATCACTTTGTTTATCCATGGCGAAGGTGCGTCTTACGCTAACAGCAGTTTGACGAAAATGAACGATGATATGCAATGACGCGAATTCTTCGGGAACTGTCAAAACTGCAGGGCAGCTCATGTATTCTTTTTTGACGGGTAAAATATTTAAGCAGGGATGGCAACTTATAATTCGATAGGATACTTTGAACAAACATTTGAATTTACGAATAAATGATAAAATGTTAGTAGAACTGAATATATTTGTTTAAACTAAATAACTTTTCTAGATACTACTGTATAGGTAATAAAAATTATATATATTATCAAAAATTGCGAAAATTGCGAAAGATACTTAAAACATTAAAATCGTAAGCAAATATCCGCTCTTGGAATTATAATTTAAATATAAGATTTAAAAGCAGAAACTGTACAAAAGAGTGTTTAGCCATTGTGAAATTTAAATTAAAATTAAATTAATATAACATTAGTTTGTGGATTAATTAAATAATGGACTATTTAATAAGAAAGAGATTTTTTTTCTGGTGATATAAGAGATTCCGGAATCATTTACGTTGCAAATGAATATGTTTGCGAAATTCTACAGACCCCTTCGCTATATCTGATGAGTGTTTTATTGAAATATTTCGTCTTTCGAAATTTTTATGTAAGCTTTTCATGGCAGAAACAATTCCGTGCATGGTACCGAGAAGTCGATCAGATGGAATTTCGAGGGACATTCGTGTACTTGTTGCTTTACGCTTATATATTATATATATATATATATATATATATTATATATTGTATATATTTATTTATATTGTTATTATTTTAATATACTTTATTAATAATAAATTGTTATTATGATCAATATTCAACACTTTTTTATTATTACTGGGCTTAGGTCGTTAATTTAACACATAAAAATTACACTTATGAATTTGCGTTAAATATTTAATTGTATTTTAGTTATTATGAAAACTTATTTGTATTAAAGATATTTCGTCTACGTCATAGACCAACTTCAGCGTACAATAAGGAACAAAAACCTTAAAAGTAAACAATTATTTTATTAATAAAACGAAGTGCAAATTTCCACATCAGCCCTGAGGTATTGCACATAATGCGTTAACCAAATTATTTTATATGGCTCGTTCTCCCGTAGGCCTCTATCCACCATAAAAAACTTATAACATATTACTATTATATTCTACTTATTAAAATTGTTGAGCGCATCCGCTAACAGTTTTATAGTATCTGTATGCTCTTTTGTGGCCTGCACATGTTCGTCCGCAATCTCCTCTTGTTTGAGCTCTGTATCCTCCAGCTCAAGTCGACGCTCCTCAAGCTTCAACCTTTTCTCCTCAATCTTCACGAACTTTTGGTTGCTCTTTTCTAATGCGGAATTTTGATTTCATAGGTTAGCTGGTCGAATAGCTCTGAAAGGAATACAACCCTTGTCAGCAGATGGACCTGAAGCGCTTGACGGTTCCTTTCCCTCCTCAAGGTACCAAAATTAAACATTTATTAGTTAATTAATTAAAAACTATATAAAAAATAAAAGCGGAAATAAATCTTTCGCCTCCAATGTGCATTGCTGGCTTGCAAACATCTTCCATGCACCGCCACTGGATGTACTACGACAATGTCATCCAGATCGGTTAAATCTCTTATGCCCTAGGATGCATTTCCGGTCAGCCCCACTGCATGCTTATGCTCCAGCACTTTTCTCTTGCTATGCAGCGTGAAAGCTGTGCTCTAAACATAACCATAAGCAGCAGCGTGAAAACCGGTATAATATATTTTCACATCGTACGGAAGGTAAAAATATAATGCTATGCACTATACAAGCACAGAAGTAATGAATTCGTTCATATTTGATTAATTTGTTTAGATCTCTATATTAACAGAGTTGCTGATGATGGTCCTAACCGACATCAAATATTGAATTCTGTCTCACTTACATCAGTTGCGTTGATGTAGTGCGCTTTGTATTGAATGTAATACAGATTTGTAGAAGTTTTATAGAAGAAAGTATAAGGTTTCAAATAAAGAGAGTATTTTTGCTATGAAAGAATACTTGCAAGAATCATATAACGTAAATAGAGAAGCATATGTCATTCATACAAAGCAGAAGCTTCCCAAAGGCTGTACCGATAAAAACGAGTACTGAAGTATAAGCCAAGGATATCGCGTAAGATATATAAACGCGTTCGTTTGAGTACTGCTTTATTTTCCGAAACATGAAAAGAAAAGCATCACACTGTTGTAGCTATGAAACTGAAATATGTAGAATCCATAAAATGTAGTCACTTCAGTGATACCAAAAAGTGTGCAAATCGAGCCATACTTGGTAGCAAATATTGCTATAACCACTTTTACAAGATACAAGGCGAGATCTACTCTCCGCATGTGGACTACATAATGATGGAAATGTTTTGATGGAGATGTTCTAAATTTTAAGTACGCGATCTGTTCTATTTTCTAATCTGAATATGTTGAGCTAATAATTTGTATATTATTTAAGAGTATACTTTGACTTTCTTTATTTTTAATGAAGATGTTATAATTTTAAGAAATCGATTTGCTCTATTTTGTAATCAAAAGAAGTCAAATTATTAACTTTTATTATCAAGTTGCGAGAAAGCACAAATTTATTTAAGAATAAATATTAGTCTTGAGCTATGACATTTTTTATAACTTATTAACTTGATCTTTACAAATATCAGTACGCCTTATTAGCATCCAGTAACTACTTCCGCCTTGCCTGATCAGTCGTTTGATGTCACCACTTGATAGTACCAAATGCTTTCATATCAATATTATAGTTATCGGGTCATTCCATCGAAAATGTCTCTATGGATGTCCTCTCAACAATTTTGCACTAGAGCCCATCAAATCAAACCTTTTGCAGCTAAGAACATAACGTTGTCAATATTGACATTATTTGTTGACGCATAACGTCAACAGCACAGGCAATAGCATCTCAGTTTTATAAAAGATCGTGGGTCTAATCTTCTTTAATATTGAATCGCTTAGAAAAACTCTTCCCAATTTGAACACAGCTGATGGTAGTGATCATTATTCGTCTGACAAAGATGGTGATGTTAGCTTAGTCCTTATCAATGAGCTAATTTTTATATTTGCGGTTTTATTTCAGGAAAAGGTCATAACATCAATTTTTTTTTATCTTCAAGAACATTAACAACTAAAAATCCAAAATGATATAAAAATATAAAGATATGTAATTTGCCTCTATTAAAATAACCATAAATTCTGAACAGGTACATGCAATGGGAAAATTATGTCTGTTCAAATATACAAACTAACGAACTTATTATTTAATGTATTATCAGCAATATTTTGTTAGTGGAGTCAGCAATCAAACCAATAGCGAACACACCATATTTCTCGTAGGCAAGACTATATAGAAAAATATCTAATATAAGAGCAAAACATTCATAGATAGCGCTAAGTTCATCACTACGAAGGGAGCCAAAGAAATAAAGTTTTTTGGTACTGACTGGACAAACAGCAACAACACTCTTTCTACTATTGTTTATTAGAGTAGATCGATATGCACTTTGACTCGATCAAAGGACAGAGTAATAAATTGATTTTAATATGCTAAATATGGATTTCATAACAGATATTTATATAAAAGGATGACAACTGTATATTCTATATACCAAGCATTTAATTAGGTTCAACATATTTGAAAGAGAAGAGATAAGGTACTGAATATGGTCAGACCAATTGTATCGATTATCGTTTTGAAAATGGTAACTTCATCAATTCACAAGCGACTGGCAATTTCACAAAAAAGTAGCATAAGAAAAAAAAATTAAACATTTGATTTGGAAAAAAGGACTTCCCCTAACACCAAAATGGATTCATATTTAAAACAAAAATTTTGACTTATAGAATGCACTTTTTCACATTTCTATTTGCGTGCGACAATATTTTTATTCGAGTTACAGAGAAATTCCAGTTAAAAAAGTTCGAGTTATAAAAGCTCGAGTTAAGTAAGCAGAATTGCATGTAATTTGCTCTCTAAAACCCCGTAGCAAACTTTTTAGTTCGAGATATAGAAAATTCGAGTTATAGAAGTGCGAGTTAAGGAACTTTGACTGTATATAATCTTATAAAGAAGAGAGATTTGTTCATAATTTATAGGGAAATTAAAATCACGAATCACACAGATCAAAACAGATGACGATGTGCTTTAAAGCACATCGCTTTAAACTACACTATAAAGAGGGGTCTATTTTATAAAGACATCCCTCTAATTGCTTAGTAGATGTGTGACGTGACTTATTCACAATTTATTGAAATATTAAAATCAAAATTTATATGAAGACGAATATGAGGACGAGTACAAGAACTTCATCTCTAAATCATCTGATTTACAGAGATCGAAACAGATGGCGAGGTACTTAATTATCTTATAACAACGCAGAATACTGGTTAAACCTTTTCTAATGGAAACGAAGAAGTTACATTTGTTTAATTAAACCAAAAGTGCACGTTTAATTTTTCACGTTTTATATATTAGATAAAATTGTTTTAAATATAAAAAACTTTAAAAATTTTATATTTAATTGTTTCCTCCTCAAAAATTATATTTGCAATTCGTGTTCGAGATTTGTTATTTGTGATTTGTGATTTGTGGTCTGCAAATAAACATACGAAAACTAGTTAGATAGATTTTCTAATTTCCACATTTAAAATTAGAGTACATTCAATACGTAGAACTTCTTACTTCTTACCTAGTCAAAATGCTCCGTTGATTAATAAGGATTCATCAGGGTTAGTTTGATCATACATAGATATTAGTACATACGCGTGGGTGGTCGGTCACACGTTCGATTCTGTTTTGAAAATATCCAAATCATTATATTTGGGAATAAAAGAAAATCAAAACTACAAAACTTCAACTTACCATCATCTGGAATTATCGATATCGGCTGTTATAAGCTTCCATGTAAGATCCTTTAATGTTCGTCAATTAAATAAACCATATGGATTTTGATAATAACTCACAAAACTGAAAAACATATTTAATTCAAAATAATAAAATATCTGATATAAGAACAACTATATAATACAATAAACACCATTTTATCATTTTTATCCTGATCATTTTGTCAGGAATTACCTACGATAAGTTAGAAGCAATTACCATAATGTCATGAAGAAGTCATTTATTTCGCCAGTTCACAGCTCACAGTTCACTTGAGAATTTTATTAACGTAAACCTTGTAACGGTTAAGCTCGTCATTTCTGTGCAGCGCGGATAGTTCCTTTTAACATCATCGTTTAAATATGAGTGTTTATTTTTTGTTTTTTTTTTATCAAATCCAATATGATTATGAGTCCAAGTCTAGTAAAATATTTTTCTATTTAGGTATAGCATTAGAATTTATATCACTTCGATTTGCTTTAGATGTCTCCATTATCTCCATTCGAGTGAGGCGACTCTGGAAAGAGAGTTAAGTAATAGAGTATGTTCTTAAAATATTGGTATATACGAATATGTGGGGGTACATATGGGTGATGTGTTACAATTTGTGTGATATGTACCGATATAACAATTATTATGGATGTAATTTTGTTACATTGTAATTTTTTAATGTAGTTTTAGAATGTTTATGTTAAATATATCATAAATTCGCTAAGATTCCAATAACTATAAATGTTATGTAAATATTTTCTAGCTTATTTATGTAAAAATCACATTCCAAATATGCAATGGTTTTTTAAATGAATAAATCCTTAAAATCTCAATTAATCTAAAATATTATAAAAGCAATATCCAAAAGTATACTACGTATAACACAATTAAACGCCGTCTAAAAACACACTTAACGCTATTACAATTGAAATTTAGATGAAAGTTGAATACTTTCTTTTGGATTTGTTGTTATGAGATCTATTTCTCTTAAGATGGATAACAAAAATTCATCTCACCTAACATGTAACCCATGTAATCCTCTCTGATAATAAAATTCAGGCGGAGGGATTAGAGAAACAGAGTAATTTCCGGCTTCTTCAGAAGTGGTAATTCGACAAGTCAGGTAACTTAGATGGATTTAGTTCAGTCATTGGACATTGAATAATACCAGAAGCAAAAGAGCTCATCAATTAATATACGCTGTACATTAGAACAGAGCTTACCATAATGTCCATAGACATTATTATTCATTAGCTTGTAGTGTCCACACAGCTCGTGGTGTATATATTTTAAGTAACGTTCACAATTTTGTACTTTTATACTATTAATTTTGAAACATTATGTAGAAAGCAAAAAATAAATATAAAATACAATAGAAATATGTTTGGGATATTGATTTTTTTAAATTTTCAAAGCTCACTATATCAACATTTTTAAAAGTACATATATGAAAAAATTATTTCTTGATATTTTTGAGTGCTTTATACTACATTCATTCTTCCTCATATACTGTCTTATACTGTCTCACTTCCTCATTTATATAAATGAGAAACCGTTCGCATAACAATAAGCTCATTTATCCAGCTTATAGAACTTTTATATGTCAAAATAGCTATAAAAGACCTTTCTTTTGTGCTATAAAGAACTGAGAGCGTAACACAAAAAAAGCGCCAGATTTTCATGGAATAGCTTGGTGTAAAGACTGGTAAGAACAATTGTTTTTTCAAAAACAAAACAGTGTAAATTATTTTTATTATTATGACATGTTCTTTAAATTACTATCACAATTCAAAAACTTAATCTATTCACATATGCTTTCCAGATACCCCTATTACGCGCTAATATTCTGAGCTCTCTTAATGATTTGTTAGTTTCCTTGTTTAATGATCTTCTCCATGTGCTTTTTGGCCGTCCGTGATTCCTTCTACCTAGTGGGTTCCATTCTTTTGCTGAGCGTGCAATTTTACTTTTCACGCAGGCTTCGAATATCGTAATTTTAATTTTTAAAAGCAAGGTTGTTGAACGTCAAATTTTTTTGAGATTAGCGGAGACATATCTGGCTTTCGAAAGTCTATTGGCTACGTCTTTTGAAGTATCACCTTCTGTTACTATAACGCTATCGGGATATTCAAACTTTTCGACGTTTTTGTCGACCGTATTAGTTATTGTGAGCTGGGAGGTGTTAGTTAAGACATATGTAATTTTGAGTTTGCATATTAGAGTGTGCTTTAGAGGTCAAGACCACATCACCGGCATATTCTAAATCAGATAATCTGTTTCTTATTCCCTAGTTGATTCCAAGTCGTTCTGAGTCCAGGGTCTTCATCACTGCGTACAATGCCGTTATGAAGAGAATTGGCGAGAGCGCACCACCCTGCCTTACACCACTGGATAATGGAACTGAATCGCTCAGCGCACCATTGTATAATATTCTGCATGTAGTTTCTTCATAGCTGCTTTTTATAATATTGACAGTTTTAAGTGAGATACCTCTAGCTTCATGCACCTTCCACACGTATTCGCGTTTTAACGCATCGAATGCTTTTTCAAATCGACGAAGGTGAGATATAGGTTGGTGCTGAGTTTAGCCGACTGTTCAATAAGTATTTTTATAGTGTTTATGTGATCTATGCATGAAAGACCAGAGCGAAACAGTTTCTGATTCTGCCGGAGTAGATTATTAACATAAGTAGCTCAATGATGTGGTTTAAAATAATTTTCGTGAATATTTTGTTTATTGTTGGCAGCAAAGATATACCTACCCAATTAAAGCATTTTTTCCTGTCTCCTTTACTAGGGATCTTGATTATGATAGTCACTTTCCATTCCTTTGGAATACATTCCATACCTCGACAAACTGGAGATGTAACTTTATAGACATTGTTTCCGGTATTGCTTTAAATACTTCTACAGGCAAGTTGTCGTTTCCCGCTGCTTTGCCTGATTTTAGAGATAGAATTGCCTCGTATATTTCTTCAGTACTGGGTGGATTACATTTTATAGATCTATTATGGTTGCATTGTCTAAACCCTGTGTTCTTATGAAGTATCTTTTCCATACTGTCATCTGATCGGCATAAGTTACAATGCATCTGTTTTAATTTTCAACAGGTACTCTACTGAAGTCTTTCTTACCAGCTATATCACGATTTATCTTAAACACTTCTTTAAGATCTCCTTTCAGTGAGGCAAAAAGTTAAACAAAGCATTTGTCGATCCTGTTTGGGCATTAAAATCTCCCATTTGAGCTCCTTTTTAGACACGTTTTCCTCCCATATTTAAGGTTCAGTTAAATTTTTTACATTTAAATATTTTGATATAGTGAGCTTTGAAAATTTAAAAAAATCAATATCCCAAACACTTTTCTATTGTATTTTATATTTATTTTTTGTTTTCTACATAATGTTTCAAAATTAATAGTGTAAATGTACAAAATTGTGAACATTACTTAAAATATATACACCACGAGCTGTGTGGACACTACAAGCTAATGAATAATAATGTCTATGGACATTATGGTAAGCTCTGTTCTAATGTACAGCGTATATTAATTGATGAATTCTTTTACTTCTAGTATTATTCAATGTTCAATGACTAAACTAAATCCATCTAAGTTACCTGACTTGTCGAATTACCACTTCTGAAGAAGCCGGAAATTATTCTGTTTCTCTAACCACTCCACCTGAATTTTATTATCAGAGAGGATTACATGGGTTACATGTTAGGTGAGATGAATTTTTGTTATCCATCTTAAGAGAAATGGATCTCATAACAACAAATCCAAAAAAAAGTATTCAACTTTCATCTAAATTTCAATTGTAATAGCGTTAAGTGTGTTTTTAGACGGCGTTTAATTGTGTTATACGTAGTATACTTTTGGATATTGCTTTTATAATATTTTAGATTAATTGAGATTTTAAGGATTTATTCATTTAAAAAACCATTGCATATTTGGAATGTGATTTTTACATAAATAAGCTAGAAAATATTTACATAACATTTATAGTTATTGGAATCTTAGCGAATTTATGATATATTTAACATAAACATTCTAAAACTACATTAAAAAATTACAATGTAACAAAATTACATCCATAATAATTGTTATATCGGTACATATCACACAAATTGTAACACATCACCCATATGTACCCCCACATATTCGTATATACCAATATATTAAGAACATACTCTATTACTTAACTCTCTTTCCAGAGTCGCCTCACTCGAATGGAGATAATGGAGACATCTCAACGAAATCGAAATGATATAAATTGTAATGCTATACCTAAATAGAAAATAACTTTACTAGACTCGGACTTATAATCATATTGGATTTGATAAAAAATAAACACTCATATTTAAACGATGATGTTAAAAGGAACTATCCGTGCTGCACAGAAATGACGAGCTTAGCCGTTACAAGGTTTACGTTAATAAAATTCTCAAGTGAACTGTGAGCTGTGAACTGGCGAAATGAATGACTTCTTCATGACATTATGGTAGTTGCTTCTAACGTATCGTAGGTAATTCCTGACAAAATGATCATTTACATTACAATTTTAATGAAATATTAATACAAAAATAAAAAAAGTGGTGTTTATTGTGTTATATAGTTGTTCTTATATTAGATATTTTATTATTTTGAATTAAATATGTTTTTCAGTTTTGTGAGTTATTATCAAAATCCATATGGTTTATTTAATTGACGAACATTAAAGGATCTTACATGGAAGCTTATAACAGCCGATATCGATAATTCCAGATGATGGTAAGTTGAAGTTTTGTAGTTTTGATTTTCTTTTATTCCCAAATATAATGGTTTGGATATTTTCAAAACAGAATCGAACGTGTGACCGACCACCCACGCGTATGTACTAATATCTATGTATGATCAAACTAACCCTGATGAATCTTTATTAATCAACGGAGCATTTTGACTAGGTAAGAAGTAAGAAGTTCTACGTATTGAATGTACTCTAATTTTAAATGTGGAAATTAGAAAATCTATCTAACTAGTTTTCGTATGTTTATTTGCAGACCACAAATCACAAATCACAAATAACAAATCTCGAACACGAATTGCAAATATAATTTTTGAGGAGGAAACAATTAAATATAAAATTTTTGAAGTTTTTTATATTTAAAACAATTTTATCTTATATATAAAACGTGAAAAATTAAACGTGCACTTTTGGTTTAATTAAACAAATGTAACTACTTCGTTTCCATTAGAAAAGGTTTAACCAGTATTCTGCGTTGTTATAAGATAATTAAGTACCTCGCCATCTGTTTCGATCTCTGTAAATCAGATGATTTAGAGATGAAGTTCTTGTACTCGTCCTCATATTCGTCTTCATATAAATTTTGATTTTAATATTTCAATAAATTGTGAATAAGTCACGTCACACATCTATTAAGCAATTAGAGGGATGTCTTTATAAAATGGACCCCTCTTTATAGGGGAGTTTAAAGCAAGTCGCTTTCACATAATGGGATTTTTAGTACCACATCCATTTATGAAATGCAGATATATTTACATTACCATTTGTTCGTTTCTGAATTTAAATACTCGCAAATTATCTAAAAGGACTTGGAGAGAAACAAACCTATTTCATAAATTTTCAAACTTTTTATAATTGTCTTATTATTGCAATATAAACTTATTTTAAAAATCGAATAATGTTCAATTGAATTGAGCAACTAAAACCGATGATTATAAATAGAGAGAAGTTTAGTTTAAACAAACATGATATAGTAACATGATAAGTAAGATACATATTTTTTAACGCGCATATGCCAGTATATGTTGGACCTACAATTATTGTTTCGAATAACGTTTTTAAATGCTGAAGTGGTACTCTAACGAACTTTCACAGAAAATTAACCAATTTCCAAGTTCAAACATACAAGTTAAGTACGACTGTGGGCTTCAAATGCTCTGAACTTCAAATTTTGGAGGGTAGAGTTGAACCCTTGGTACACTGTAGCCTCAAAAAATTATTTACGAATAATTAAATATGAGAAATAATTAAAACACCACAGCTGTATGGTTGGCAATAATTCAATTGATTACAAAATAATTAAAAATTTTTGTTGTGATTCTCATTGTCCGATAAAAACCTATCTGTTGAACACAATAGTTTATATTATATTAAGAATTTACTTTCTTTTGTTAAAACGGACGTTAAAAATCAATTTAATAAAAAAATGTTAATAGTCTTCTTCATCAAAATAAAAATCTTAAGTTTCATGCAGAGTTAACTTTTGATTAAGATTTAATTCATTTTCTAATATATCCCTCAGGTCTTACTATTACGTGTACAACTCAATAGTAGCCATCTCAAAGATAATGATTGCTTCACAACTCTTCGTTAAGATCGAATGAAATATATTCACTCCATTTACTTTATTTACGTGTTTCCGTATATATTTAAGATGTCACAGTCATATAAAACAATAAAAATATCAACTCTACTGCCAGCTTGACTCGTTTCCTAATTTATCTTTATTCTCTTATTTAAATTTTAACATATGTATATTATAAATGCAGTTCCTTTACTAGCACTTTTTAATAAAAATTGATCGTGTTTTTGAATTTCAGGAACTGCTGTGATATGCCATCTTTAACTATGCATAGTTCATATCTAGAGCATAATGTTGCATTTTCGTTAAAGAAAGACATTTCATTTAGACATTTTGATATATTTGACTGATGACTTTAAGTTAAGTCTCGATTAGCCAAGGTATACACGTAACGTAAACACGTGCATATGTTTGTGAGAGCGATACTTCTCAATCAGCTAATCCGCTTCTACACAATTAAATCCAAAGATCGTTTATACTAGATATGCTAACTCTTAGCTTCAAATTTGGGAGGGTAGAGTTCAACCCTTGGTACCTGAAGTCTCAAAAAGTTAACGAAAAATTAAATTCAAGAATTATTTCCAAGACCACTGATAATGGGTATTTGGCAATACTCGAAACAGCTGAATGGTCGGCCAAAAATTCAATTAATAAAAATAATGTAAATAAGAATTTTTGTTGTTGTAGTTCACGTCTATTCGAAAAAAAAATCCTTATGAAATATTAAATAATTATAAAATTTAATGTTATGGTTAAATGAAATATTGGTAATACTGAATCTGTTGCGCACATTTCTCATAAAATTAACCGAGTTATAATTTTTGCACATATTACAAGTGTAACCGGAAATATTAATTTATTGCTCACACGGATAAAGCCCCATAGATCGAGAACCGCGCGTTATTCTTTGCGGATATGTAATACATTCGCTTTCTCAATCGATAACAGAACAGACCGCTGTCAAACCTCAACTGATAACAATGCCCGAAAAATGTATGTTTTATCAGTTAATTAGTCACAATCAAAAGTTGTATGCGACTGTTTTGATTTCTTGAAGAAACGAATATAGCACATTTCACCAATAATTTTGTTTAATTCTATTCCGATAAGAAGCTACTGACTTGTCAAACTGTAGCCTGATAAAACAATTGAAAGCAAAAACAAAACAAGGTGAAAACATATTAGTTATCTCTTAATTACTAAAAATCAGAGCCTCATTATGGCGATATTAGGAAAACTCGTATAAAAGAATTGATTTAAAAGTTTCACCAATTAGTTTGCTTAATACTTCGACAAGTTCGGATCTTGTCTAAACGAAATTTATTTAAAAAGAAAAAACGATACAACGAATACGTGAACACAAAAAAAAATTTTAAAATGCAACGATTAGTGATATTATTACTGTGTGCAGTTGCCGTAACTGTATCTGGTCGCGCTTTAATCGATGATACATGTAAGACAGCCGGTTTCTTTCCATTGATCGATAATACACCAGAATTTTACGGTTGCTATCAAAATAAAGCCGGTGGTTTGACAATTAAATATTTAACATGTCGTCAGGGACAAGTTTTCAATTCACAGATTGGCTACTGTGTACCAGTGAAAAATTATGGTAACAAATCTGAGAATAACTTACACGCAGCTTCAGATGGTTCAGATATTGAAAATCCTACTATACCAACAACAACGCCTAGTGATATTGAAAATCCAACTGTGCCAACAACAACATCAAAACCTGCAACTGGTACTACAGGTAAATTTGATGAATCTACTCCAGTAGATACAACTGCAGCTCCTGATACAACTGAGGGGCCTGAGGATACAACCGAAAACCCTGAAACGACAGAGGAACCAGAAACAACAGAAAAACCAGAAACTACAGAGGAACCAGAAACAACTGAGCAACCAGAAACAACTGAAGATCCAGAAACAACTGAAGATCCAGAAACAACAGAAGATCCAGAAACAACAGAAGACCCAGAAACTACCGAAGAACCAGATACCACTGAGAAACCAGATACTACTGAGGAGCCAGAAACAACTGAAGAACCAGAAACAACAGAAGAACCAGATACTACTGAGAAACCGGATACCACTGAGAAACCAGATACTACTGAGGAGCCAGAAACAACTGAAGAACCAGAAACAACAGAAAAACCAGAAACAACCGAAAAACCAGATACTACTGAGAAACCGGACACCACTGAAGAACCAGAAACAACAGAAGAGCCAGGAACAACAGAAGATATAGAAACAACAGAAGAGCCAGATACGACTGAGGAACCAGAAACAACAGAAAAACCGACTACAACAGAACCAGAAACAACAGAAGATCCAGAAACAACAGAACCAGAAACAACTGAAAAACCAGAAACGACAGAAAAACCAGAAACAACAGAAGAAACAACAGAACAAACAACAGAAGAAACAACAGAAGAAACAACAGAAAAACCAACAGAAGAAACAACAGAAAAACCAACAGAAGAAACAACAGAAACACCAACAGAAAAAACAACAGAAGGACCAACAGAAGAAACAACAAAAGAAACAACAGACGAAACAACTGAAGAAACAACAGAAGAAACAACTGAAGAAACAACAGAAAAAACAACTGAAGAAACAACAGAAGAAACAGAGACAACAGCAGATCCGAAAACAACTCCAGATCCTAAACCCACAGAAACTACAGTTGATCCAGCAACACCTACAGAAACCACAGTTACTGATCCATCAGGGTCAACTACTCCTAAGCCACTGAACTGTCCAACCGAAGGTTTTTTCCCTCAGAACGGGTCCTGCAATAAATTTATATATTGCGCATATATCAACAACACATACACAGCATATGAATTTACTTGTCCAGCTGGCCAGAACTATAATCCAGTAGAAGGTTTTTGTGAATCTGCTTATACGGGATGTGACGCAGGAAACACGGAAGTAAATTTAGTGCATGAATTGCAACGCGATTATAATTGCTTAGTTGAAGGTGCCTTCCCCGATTCTGATAACTGCAATAAATACTATAAATGTTGGTGGAACGCAGAAGTAAAAGCATATGAGTACACAACTGAAAACTGTCCATCTGGTGAAGTGTTCCATCTAATAACTGGTCAATGTGCTCGTGAAGGGATTTTGACATGTTTGGGGCGCGCAGGTGGTTCGAAATTTGGTGGAAAACTGTAAATTACATACCTAATATCAAGTCTTTAAATTACGTATACAATATGTATATACAAACACATACTCGTATATAACGAATTTATTATATTACCTGAAATATACATAATTAAACTAAATAAATTATTTATTTTTATAAATTTAAAACGAAACGAAATATTATTTGTTAATTATTGTCAAAAGATAGCTGTTTATTGGATGCCTGAATGGAGTTGCTTAGCCAAGTCTTGGTAGAAATGTCTCAGTACATTTACTGAAGCACTTGAAGCTGTCTTAACATACGAGTATTTGGTTGTATATTTTGAATAACTGCAATCAGTTTTCTCTACACGAGTACTTCAAATTTATACTTAAATAAAAAATTTGACGAAATAATTATGAAGATTATCAACGATTTGGACGTGATTTCAGCGCATTTATTACGATACGGCTTTGTTCCTCACTGCTGGCTGAAATTAGTTTTCATAAGAATTTTAATTGATTTTATCGTTGATATTATTAAAAAAAACTATAAACAATAAACATTATACAAAATAAAAAATAAAAAATAATATTCAAGAGCAAAAAGTAAATACGTTTTTTATTTATTTTAGCTTATCATCGATTTTAGGCCTCTGACGTAGGAAAAAATTTAGTTGATGTGTATTAGTTAGGATTTTATGATTTCAAAATATATATTTTAATTAAAAGTTATTCAGTTGATATATCAGTTAAAGAAAACCATGTATTGAATTCTACCTAGCTTGAACCAATTTAATTATTTATCGATAAAATTTCAAAACCTAAAATTCTATTATTTTATAATTAATTTTTTTCATAATCAACGTTCTGAAAAAAAGGCCTTACCACTTAAGTGATGTTGTTAAAACTTTGAAAAAATAAACCGCAGAGTATGCTAAGATTGCTAACCTGAACATTTAGTATGCTAACCTAAAACATAAAGCTGTGCACAATTATTATTTTATTATAAAAGTAGTCATGAAAATTGCCCAACAGCCGGTACTGCGCCCAAAAGAGTCCTATTGTACCAATTTCACTATTGATTACACAAAGCTCTTTAAAGCTTTGTGAACAAAATCTAGAACTGAATCTGGAGAAGAGCTCTTAAACTGCTCTGGTGACAGAAATTCCATATGAAAGAGGTTTCTTCTGTGCGTTATTACAGCTGGACAGTCACAAAGAATGTGCATGGTCGTTTCCTCATCTTCGAGGCATAATCTGCATTCGGTGTTAGCAGATAATTGTGGTTTATGAAGATGATATTTCAGACCATAATGATCTGTAATGAAACCCGTTATCAACCTTAAATTACATTTTGAGAATTTAAGAATGTCTTTGTAGGAATACGGTGTTACCAGTGCTTTGCTTTGTCTGATTCCTGGAAAGCTTACCCAGTACTCCAGCTGCATTTGGTTTTCCCTTTCCTTGATAATATGTTTTGTACTGGCCCAGTTTATTCCACAAAAGGGTTGAGGGCCTATAAAGCTGTGCACAATGCTCGTAGTTATAATTTTGGTTTCAATGGATATTAGTATTCAACAACGATAATTATACAATAATCAAAATATTTTATTAAAATCTATATTCATCATAAAAAAAAATATAAACCATCTGATATGTGCGCATTTAGTGTAAAATGAAAAACTTAATCAATTAAACTAAATTTATGTTGCCGACTTCAGTGCAGTTCAGTACAATCACTACAATAGTACAATAGAATTAGCCGGCTACGTACACAACCCTCCACTCATTTTTCATAAGCTGATTGAGATGCGGATATTTGACTTCTTTAGGAAATTTTATTTTAAGACTGTAATTTTAATTTTGGGAATCACAAATCGTAATCGTCAATTTTTCACAAAAAGTTTTTACACAATGACGACTTTGTGCCTGTGCAGAGCATTCAAAAGTATAATCACAAAACAGCAGATGCAAACACACTGGATATTAGCACAATGTTAGCGATATTGGTTTCAATGACTTATTTAGTGACAGTATAGCGAAATCGGCTTAAATTGACATCATTAGCAGACCAAGTTTCAAATAATTTGCGTAATTTTGTAGGTTTATTGGTAGGCTATATAAAAACGAAGTAATTGTTTAGCAACATTGAACTCGATATCCTTAGATCTGCGTTAAACATATTTTTTTCAAAAAAAGCTATTTCCAAGTGAAATCATTAACTTTAAACATTCTTTCGAAAATTTAAGTTTGATATTGGTAGTTAAACTCTCTGACTATTCTTACTTCCCCAGCATTAAGCTAAACACATACTTTCTTGCATTTCTAGCCCCGCTTTCTTTAAAAATCATTACTTTCTTTTTTTCGGGTGTTTTTCAGCAAACTTCAAATTTACTTGTATAGGTACATATCATTAAATATGTTCAAATGTTCAAAGATAGTAGTTTTTGAACTTTTATAAATAAAATCACATTGTAAGTGATGCGAGTATGGATGATATGTTCTTGTTATATGTTGCTAATAGAGGAGGACTGAAAAAGCAATCTTGCATTATGCCCCTATTAGACTCGAACTCATTGGACACTGAAAAAGCAATCTTGAATTATGCCCCTATTAGACTCGAACTCATTGGACACCTGATATTCATTCCATACTATCGTTTGGTTTCTCTCACATAAATCTTGAAGATTTTTCACAATTTTCAATTTTTGTTTATGTGAAAGGAAATATTTCAAAAGTATATCTAGTACAAAAGTACTATCTATTGTGGAGTAACAGTCCGTAAGTCGTTATTAGCACTCGTTATTAGCAATAATAGCATTTTTCAACGCAATTTATGAAACGGGTAAGAATAATAGAGGAAGAATTCTTATTTTAACATTAAAAAATTAGATTTTCCTATAGTTTGTCTTTCGAAATTTATTTATTAATCTTTTTACCTGTTAACATAAAAACTTTCTACCACAATTGGTCGCTAATAATAAAAAAAATTGAATGTCCTATATATTCCTTTAAAAGGACATTTAATAGGAATATAATATATAAAAATATATATATTCCTTTATATTATAAAGGAATATATATATATATTTATTATAATAGTATACAATTATTACAATAATTTCTTAATTATAATAATTTATCAGGTTTTTTTTTTAAACTATTATATTTTTAGCATTTCAATTACAATCACCATTCAGTTAATTATGCTGGTACCAATATTCATGTGTCCCCATTAAAGAAAAGCACTGTGTATGATGAATCCAACCGAATTAGACAAGCCTGTGTTGAAGCGCTGTGGAGCAGAGCTGTTTATTAATAGATATTCTCTACATAATATATAAACATTAAGAACTTAATATATTCTATATAAATTATATTAAATAACTTGAAATTAATAATGTAAGTATATTTATTTATTTTTTTAATTTTTCACTGAATCCCAGAAAATTTTAGGAGGCACCAGAACCATTTATGCATACTTTCAATTTTAGGTCAAGTTTATTTTTAACCAAAACTGTTGCTATGAATAAAAAATTTGTTGAATAATGCAATTGCTTTTTAATCTTGAAGTGTATATTTTAATACAATGTCAAGCTGTTTTTAATTCAGAACAAAATATCGCTCCAAAATAACTTCAAAGTTCATTTTCCATTGTGAAATTTGAATACGAATGCATCACAAGAATGTTATTACAGTCGATAGGAGTGTTAAAAATGATTGAAGAGCAACGAACACTTGCGTCATTTTTTATCATTTATTATTATATTTTGCTATTTAGAAGTCAAAGTACAAATATTATTTATTTATTATAATATAAAAAGTTGTAATTACAAATAAAACGAAATTCAAACCACAAATTCAATCAATTATCAATTGCTGTAGGCTTTGGTGAGCTTTACCATGATATTCATACCGAACTTCGGAACCTCAGAACGATGACAGTTATAAGACCGGCAACAACATATGTAAGTCATTGTTACTACAGTTGAGGGCATAAAAGATATTAATTACTAATTCAATAAGTCATAAATGCCAGAGTCATTGTTATGAATGAGTTATGAAAAAGTATACATATTTCGTATGAATCAGAGTCCAAAATTCTTATTAAACGTTAAGCCTTCTTATTAGTAATAATTTCTTGTGATATATACAAATATTAATAAGCTTAAATCGTTCGTAATATTTTTATAATATATTATATTAGTTATAAAGTGTCATATAAATGAAAATTTTAAACTTATGTTTAGTATAAAATATGTTATAGTGCATCTTTGACGGTTCGTTAGTATCTATAATTTCAAGTAAAGTAAATGCTAACCCGCGTATATTAGTGGCGTATTATATCCACATACCTTGCATGCTTTCATTATAGAGACAAATACTAAAAATTGAAATTAAGCAAAAACTATTTCGTACATATTGGTACGTACATATTGGTATAAAATATATATATTAAAAATCTTTATACTATTTTACCTTTTTATGAATCTTTTATTACTTTGTTATCTTGTATATCTAGCAGTTGGGGTTCTATATACTCTCTACACAAATATCATCCTCAACCTTCTCTTGGTGTTCCCTATTTTAAACATATGAGACAATGGCGACTGAGTGTTCAGCGGTATAACTGTTTCACAACATCTGCTTCTTGGGGGAAATACCAATTGCCACTTGAAGATTGGTGCAGGTTCTGAGACAAGGGATCTAACAACTTTTATGTAAGGTAGCAAACGTACCACCGAAAAAGGATTCTTTGGTCTCATCAGCCACTGTATTTGACTTTCAAATGATTGAAGAGCTGCTTCGGATAGGAATGAAAAATTGATTCAGCAAACTTAGAGCATTAGCACGTAATAGGGGTATCTGGAAAGCATATGTGGATAGACTAATAATAATATTGAGCAGTTAAATATTTAATATAAATATATTGTTGTATAGTTGTATACTGTACAGTATAGTTTTGTCACAGAAAACTATACAGCGATGGAAGCAACAATACTTATTGGTTTAATAAAATTTTATATTATTTTATATTGTGTAGAATAAAAACTATTCAGCACATCACTTTTCCTATACTATATTTTATACTAGGAGGACTCAATGTGTTATTGAAGCAAATGGTTGATGACAACATTATGCCCATAAATGCAGCTGTGTTGTGACTTCCTAAATCGTGCAATACATCACCGTTAGAGTACTCTTTATCTAAGTCTAAATGGAAACAGAACGTTATGTCTCTTGTCATGAACACATATCTCAATAGCATTGTTGTTCTTACTACTGTTCTTACTTGATTACTGAATATAATACCTCAAGGTACGTGAAATGTTCTTCCTGTTTATATTTGTATACAAAATGATTCATATATATTCGGCGAAAATAATTTGGGTTGTAGGGATCAGAAAAGAAGAACAATAGATCATTTTCATATCAATTTCATGTACAGAAAGTTGTGTTATTCGGATATAAGCTGAAAGTAACTGGAAGAAACAGCAGATAAAATATTTTTCAGAAAACTTAAAATTTCTAATCAAAAAAATGTGCCATCCAAATAAT